AGGCCCAGAGTTCAGGCCCCATGACCGGACCCTCACCCCAACTCCCCCACAAAAAAAGTCCCATTTAGTGTTTCTCAGGCAACTTTCATACTGTTTTGTACTACAGCTGTCCTAAATCACATTCCCACAAATAGTATATAAGTGTTTTCTTTAATCTGTGTCTTTGCCAACATTTGTATTGTTTTGTTTTTCTGTCTTTTGGATAACAGCCATTTTGAGAAAAGATACTGTCTCGTAATTTTTATTTCATACCTCTGGTTACTAGAGAAAAGGGAAGAAGGGAGGGAGAAGGGGCAAAGTGAGAATAAAGAGTAAAAGGAAAAGAAAGAAATAAGAGGAAGGGAAAAAGGTGGACATGGTAGAACACACCTGTAATTCTAGAAGGCACAGTTAAGGCTACAGTCTGAGAATTGTCCTCACAAAGTTAACATGAGATCCTATCTGAAAATCTAAAAGCAAAGGACTGTTGTGGCTAGTACACTGTTTGCCTGGCAAGTACAAGGTCCAGTGTTTAATGCTCAGTGTCATACACAGAAAGAAAGAAAGAAAGAAAGAAAGAAAGAAAGAAAGAAAGAAAGAAAGAAAGAAAGAAAGAAAGAAAGAAAGAAAGAAAGAAAGATTTATGGTTTTATGAGCCATGGTGTCTCTATGCCAAATATTCAATCCCATTACCACATCACTAAAGCAAATAAAAACACATAAAAGAGTGAGGATATGTTCCAATAAATCTTTATTTAAAAAAATCATGAGCCAGGCACCACTGGCTCACGCCTATAATCCTAGCTACTCAGGAGGCTGAGATCTGAGGATCATGGTTCAAAGCTAGCCCAGGCAAGAAAGTCTGTGAGACTCTTATCTCCAATTAATCACCAGAAAACCAGAAGTGGTGCTGTGGCTCAAGTGGCAGAGCTCAGGGACAGTGCCCAGGCCCAGAGTTCAAGACCCACAACCAAAAAAAAAACAAAAACAAAAACAAAAAACAAAAAAATGGAGGGAGCTAGTTCATCCTATGTGTTTCCTAATCCTGAACCAATAGAAAAATAAATCAGAAATTAGCTCACAAACAGGACTCCTAAAATGATTGGTGTATTTATCCTAAATTTTTTACTCAATGGAGAGAAAAAAATTATCCACAATTTGCACAATTAAAAAACAATACTGTAATTAAAGATGTTTTTAAAAATCTGTGGTATAATTAGAAAAAATAATAGTACACTAACAGAAAAAGCACCAATGTGGCTAGAAACCATAAAAGGAAAAAGATTTGCCTGTATGAAAATTTAAGTCTCTTCCATAAAGTAAAAGAGAAGGTGAATAAAGTTTTAAGATAAAAATATATTCAAACCAAATTTTTCAAAAATATTTGCAACAAAACCAGAAGAGGAGCTTGGCTCAAGTGGTAGAATACTAGGAGCAAAATAGCTACCCTTGGCCCTGAGTTCAAGGCCACCTACCAGCACCAAAAAATTAAAAAAAGAATGAAATAAAGAAAAAAGAAAGCAAGTCCGAAGCCCTATCAAATCCCTTTAATGGTGCAACTCAAGTGCAGGCTAATAATCACTTCGGACTGGCAGGGTTGGGGGGTCCTTTACTTGGATTTGGGCTATAGTAAGTACTACAATCATAATGGTTTGCTACACTTAAACTGCAAGGCAAACATAGTAACATTCCTTTTGGAGCCTGGAAATTTCAGTAAGGGCTAGGCAGAAGGTGCCTAGGTTTCTTTCCCTCCTCCCCACCCCTCACCCCCACCCCCCCACTCCTTTTTTTGGCCAGTCCCAGGACTTCAACTCAGGCCCTGGGCACTGTCCCTAAGCTTTTTTGCTGAAGACTAGCTACCACTTGAGCCACAGATCCATTTCTGGCTTTTTCTGAGTAGTTTACTAGAGATAAAAGTCTCACAGAGTTCTCCCAGGACTAGCTTCGAACCGTGATCCGTGATCCTCAGATCTCAGCCTCCTGAGTAGCTAGGATTACAGGCGTGAGCCACCATCTGTGTCCAGTTTTCTTTCCTTTTCTTTCCTCTTTTCTTCTCTCCTTTTCAGTGGTTGTGGCAGTGATACTGGAGTTTGACCTCAGGGCCTCATGCTTGTTAGACAAGCATCTACCACTTGAGTCATGTTCCCAGTCCACTCTGCTTTTGCTTATTTTCAGATGCTCTGTGAGAACTGAATTTCTCGTGAGCTTCCATGGTAAACACTACTTCAAGCATGTCATAATAGGTTTAAAAAAAAAAAAAACTCAAGACACCTGGGCGCGGAGTCTGAGATCTGAGGATA